TGTAAACACATCTTTAGATCATTTGTTCAACATTCTCTACAGTCAGCAAAAGTCTGAAATGCCCTGACTCCAGTTCAGTTGGGCCTAACCCTTCTTTTTTACATCCCTATAACCACTCTGCAACTGCTAACCTGTACCTCCAATCCCCCAACCTCTTCCACCCAGCCCCCACCTCCTCACATCGGGCAATCACCAGGCTGCTCTCTGCATCCATGAATCTGTTTGTTTTGTTTGTTCACTTTTGTTTGTTCATTTTGTTTTTTGGACTCCAAATATTTGTGTATGTTTTTATTGATTTCAGAGAGAGGAAGAGAGAGAAACATCAATGATGAGAGAGAATCATTGATGAGCTGCTTCCTGAATGCCCCCCACTGGGGATCAAGCCCACAACCCAGGCATGTGTCCTGACCAGGAATGGAACCGTGACCTCCTGGTTCATAGGTCAATGCTCAACCACTGAGGCACACCAGCTGGGCTCATTGGTCAGTTTTTAAATCTTTAAATCCAAGAAACACAGAAAAATGAAACAAAGCCAATGAAAGTCACCAGCTACATGTATAAATGTTACCTTTTATTGCGTTAAACACAATACATTATTTAAATTTATTTCACCCATTTGTTTTTGTTTCTTTTAATGTGGCTACTAGAAAATCTTAAAATTACATTTGTGGCTCACATATTTCCACTGGGTGTTGTTGTTCTAGGTCTCCATGAGGCCATTTCATTTGTGAGGTGTGTGTTTTTTCCTGGCCTATTACTTCTTTGAGAATCCTAGTTAGCCCACAGTCACTGCAGTCTACTAAAACAGTCTTAGAAGTGACCAAAACAAATAACTCATACCTCAACTAAAGGGCCCGTAAAACAGAAATGACCCACATAGCAGGAGTAACAATTAAACAAATGGCCACCTAAACTTCCCGTTTTCTCCCCTTCTCATGACCAAGTCCTGCACTCTGGCCACTCCAGGTCCTACAGGAGTCAGCTGTACCAGGGATAAGCCACCGCCTCAAGCCAGTATCCTTCATACATGTAACACACAGAGCATTTCAAGGGCTTACTCTTTAAAATTTCTGAAATACATGGAGAAGTACATTTTTTTTCCTAGTGCGTTGCTAACCTGTAACTGCCAAGCAGAGGCATAAAAATCCAGTTCCAATAGATAAATAATGCTGAGAAGCGAGGGTGTTACTCTTTTTGTCCAATAAACTGATGAGATTTAGGATCATGGTCTCTCATTTGGTCCAACCCTGGATAAATGAGTTTCTTCCACAGTCGTTCTCCAGCTTCTGCTTCCACACATACCTGGGGCTTATTCACCACTGAGAAGCTATCCATTCTAACCTCAGGCCAATGGGTTTTTCTTTTATCTCCTACCACTGATCCTGGATTCTTCTTTCAAAACTAGAGTTGGTTCAATTTCTCTCTCACAAGTAAATCTTTCTGTAAAGACAGTGATACCTCTTCAAGCCTTTTCCAGATTAAACATCTTTTTTTTTTGTCATTGATAATTTCTTTTAAAAAGTAGGATTTGGCTTTTATCCTTGGCTACTCTATTTGTATTGTCAATGACTCCCCTTAAGATATGGTGCCCAGACCCAAATACTATTCATCACATTTGGTCCAAGAAACACATAAGAGAGAAGCAGGGCTTTTACTTCCTCTATTCTGGACATTATAATTCTATATGAATGGCTATATGGTCAAACCTCCCCCACCTCACTTTCTTGAGCCCTGATTTCTTCCATCACTATTTAAAAGGTAACAAAAACACTGACTCAAAAAGATGTATGCACCCCTATGTTCACTGCAGCACTATTTACAATAGCCAAGACAGAGTAACCACCTACATGTCCATTGATGGACAAATAGATAAAGAAATGTGGTGTAGCCCTGGCCACGTAGCTCAGTTGATTGGAGCATCATCCTGTTATGCCAGGGTTTCAGATACCATGTCTGGTCAGGGCACATACAAGAAGCAACCAATGAATGCGTAAATAAGCAGAATAACAAATCAATGTTTTTTTCTCTCTCTCTTTCCCTCCCCTTCCTCACTCTCTCTCTCATATCAATAAATAAACATTTTAAAAAAGAAAGAAAATGTGGAGTATTATTCAGCCATAAAAAAGAAATCTTGAGAGAGAAGACCATGTGAGGACACAGCAAGAAGGCAGCATCTACAAACCAAGGAAAGAAGCCTCAGAAGAAACTAACCTGCCAGCACCTTTGTCTCTGATTTCCAGACTCCAGAACTGTGAGAAAATAAATTTCTGACATTTAAGTCACCCCACCTGTAGTACTTTGCTATAGCAGGCCAAACTAACATACCAAATATCACTGATTAAAAAAAAAGAAATCTTGCCATTTACAACAACATGGATGGACTTAAGGGCATTATGCTATATGACATAAATCAGAGAAAGACAAATACCATATTATCTTACTGATATGTGGAATCTAGAAAAAAAAGAAGCCAATTGAACTCACAGACACAGAGAAGGTACTGGTGGTTGCCAGAATCAGGGTGCAGGGGGCATTAGACAATGAGGGTAGGGTGGGAGAAATGGGGGAAGATGGTAAAAAGAAACAATATAATATTATGCCCTAGCTGGTTTGGCTCAGTGGATAGAGTGTCGGCCTGTGGACTGAAGGGTCCCGGGTTTGATTCTGGTCAAGGGCACATGCCTGGGTTTCAGGCTCAATCCCTAGTAGGGGCATGCAGGAGGCAACCAATCAATGATTCTCCCTCATCATTGATGTTTCTATCTCTCTCCCCTTCTCTCTTCCTTTCTGAAATCTATCTATCTATCTATCTATCTATCTATCTATCTATCTATCTATCTATCTATCTATCATCTATCTATCTATCATCTATCTGAAATAAATAAGACATTAGAAAAAGGAAGAAACAATACAGTATTATTACTTAGAGTCACCATACTGTACCTTACATCCCCAGGACTTACTTATTTTCAAACTGGAAATAAATAAGTCAAACTGGAAATAAATAAGTCCTGGGGATGTAAGGTACAGCATGGTGACTTTAGAGAGTAATACTATATTGAATATTTAAAACCTGCTAAAATAATAATTCTTGAAAGTTCTTATCTCAAGGCGCAACCGGTATGGCTCAGTGGTTGAGTGTCACCTATGCACCAGGAGGTCATGGCTCAATTCCAGGTCAGAGTACATGCCTGGGTTGCAGGCTTGATCCCCAATAGCGGGTATAGAGGATGCAGTTGATCAATGATTCTCTCTCATCATTGATGTTTCTATCTCTCCCTCTCCCTTCCTTTCTGAAATCAGTAAGTTCTTACCACAAGAAAAAAAATTCTATCCTGTGTGGTGATGGATGTTAACTAGGCTTATTGTGGTGATCATTTGTAATATGTACAAATACTGAATCATTATGTTGTACACCTGAAACTTATATAATGTTCTGTCAATTACGTCTCAACTAGGAGCCCAGTGCATGATTCAAAATTGCGCGGAGCCGCCCACCCTCGAGTCGCAGGTAGGGCCTTGCCTCCCTCTCCGGTCCTTGAAGCAGCCCAGGCCGCTGCTGATCAGGCCCTCCCCCAGCGCAGGTGTGAGGAGGCCCCTGCCGCCCCGCCCCCAACGCTGTGCGCGCAACCGCCTCCTGTCATGTCGACCCTGTTATGGCATCCCAGCTAATTAGAATATTTCTCTATTATATATATATATATATATATATATATATATATATATATATATATATATATATATATATATATAGATTAAGGAGGAAGGAAAGACAGACAGAGGAAGAAAGAAAGAAAGAAAGAAAGAAAGAAAGAAAGAAAGAAAGAAAGAAAGGAGGAAAGAAAGAAAGAAAGGAGGAAAGAAAGGAAGGACATTGTTTTCCAGTGGTTGGGGGGAAATAAAAAGCTTTGTAAGTCTATGAAGCTTTGCATACTAATATCTAAAACTAATGGCTATAATGAACAGTTAATAGCCTGGCTATTCCTGAGAATATCCTGGAGACAGAACACATAAAGAGGCTAATCCACTCAGGAAGTCAGGCCTCCGGGAAATGGGCCTGGCCTTGCATAGCTTTAAAAGCTCCAAGTGATTATAGCATGCGTCCAGAGTGGAGCCACTCATCTCACGAAACCACGAGCCTGATCCTCATATTGATTCAAGCGACTTTTCCCTTGACCCTTGACTCTGAATTTTTTATTTTGAATGGAACTAGCAGAATTGAATCGGTTCACTGTAAACAACTTGAGATCATTGACATTATTTGGAACTTGGGTCACAGGGAAAGAGGAGTTAATTTAGTAACAGCTGGGACCTAATTGAAAATCAAGTTAAAAAGAACATCAGGCTTAGGAGACCTGGTGTATAATTGGCAAGGCCACTTACTAGCCGGGTAATGAGCACATCACGTAACCACACGGAAGTTTCTTTGTCTATAAAATGAAGGCACTGGTCTAGAAATCTTTAAGGTGCTCTAAATTCTGGCACAGTTTCAGGACAGAGCTTGCAAATGAAAAATTTAAAGTTGTACCCTGCTCTATTTTGAAAGGCTGTGAATTTAGCTATAGGAGCGTCAACAAGGCCAAAAATATGATTAAAATGTTCAAATTATCATTCAAATTTAATTTATAATACCTATTCCTGATTATAAGCGCATCACACTTAAAGGAGAACTAGGTTTAATCACATCTGCATAGCCAGTGTTCCCTCAGTCCCCTGCCCTGCGTTAAGGCTGCAGCACACGGTAGAAGTGGGTCTCTGGGCCCAGAAAGGAGCCTGGGATATCAGCAAAATCAAGCCAGACGGTAGAGCTCCGCCACTGCCCTGCTAACCACGATGCCTTGTTTCCTCATTTGTAGAATGTCGATAAGACATTTTAAGTTCGCATTTGAAACTGGAAAGACCTTTGAAACATTATTTTTTTTACTATATTTTAAGCACTTTATTCAATATTGACCATGAAATGTGAATTCATGAAAGCAAAAGTTAAGAGACTTACTTACCAGGAAGCCTATTGAGCGTCACCCAGAAATGCTCATCAGGACTGTAGGTGTCCTTGGACCAGGACAGTAGGTCAAGTGCATGCTGGTCTTGGAGGACGAAGTTAGCGAATTCCCTTGTGAGGGCCACATAGGCAGTGCCAAAGTAAATGGTTATGTTGTGAGGAGGGGAAGTTTTCAATTTTTCTGTTTTATGCACATAGGAATTTTTTGTGTCCAATATTTCTTGGTGGACGTATTTAGTCCGTCCAATAGCATGATCTGGAGGCAGCACCCCCGGGGTAATGTTTTTCCCTTTGAAGCCTTTCAGATACTGAACTATTTCCTTGTTGGTTTTCAGGGGGAAGTCTTGCCCACAGGTGTTGATGGCGTACTTCCACGGGACCTCGGAGGCCACCAGGTCTCGCAGGCAGTTCAGGTCCGCCTGGAGCCTGGAGATCCCACCATAGACAACCGGCTCCCTCTTGGAGGCCAGAAAGGCATTCGGGAAGCAGCTCAGCAATCGCTCCACCGCATCTTTAAATTCAGCTGCTGCCTTTTCGTCCACATGGACGCAGTAGACATTTTGGGGCATGTAAACAGCTCTGAAGAGTCTCTCGAAAGTTCCAAATTCTTTGTGGATGGTCATTGAGTAAGCCAAAGGGAACCCAGCCTCTTCTTCAGAGAGCGTTTCTGTTATATAGTGACTCTGAACCATGTATTCATAACAGGCAGATCCACTGAGGGTAGTTTTCAACGCATTCTCTGTTAAGTAAAAAACCTTCCCCTTAAGAATCTGATGACAGGTTTCTGCTAAGAGCGAAGCATTGGTAAGAGACGCCCTCAGAAGACGTTTCTTCTCCCATAGCTTGTTATTGTAAACAAATATGAAAATCAGGGCCGTGACGAGAGACACACTAAAAAGACAGTGCTTCCAAGAGCCCATTATTCAAAACTAGGAAATGAGTAAAATGTCTCTTGAGATCTGACGAGAGGGGAGATAAATATTTAACTTACATTTTCTCCAGAATCCATTGTCATCCTTTCAGTACATGCAGTTCTGATGGGCTGTTTCATGCCCTTCCAGTGGACCGTTCTCGTACTTTTTCTTTCTTCCATTTACAGCTGTATTGCATTTCCACCTTTCTTTGATGCATTTCTGAAGTAATTCCTTTGGATTTGCTTTGCTCAGTCTCCCCCTAATCAGCAACCTGTTCCTACACAAAAAGAAGTTACCTCAGGAAGGTTGTGATTCCAGTGTGCCCACCTGTCCCCATAGTAAAATCACTAAAGGGCGAGGGGCCACCCTGCTAGTCATTGCCACAAGACTCAAACCCGGCCTCTTCTCGTGGCCAAAGGTTGTCAACTGTGTCAGCTCCCCAGCTTCCTGTTAATCATTGCGCTCAACTGACTGAGCTTGTTTGCTTAAACGGCACTGCCAAGTTAAAAGCGTCAGTTCTAAGCATGTGAACACCGCCTGGAGAGATATTCTGTCAATAAATATTTAGTGCTTAAAAATAAAATATTTAACTCTGTCTTTTTTCACACGCACCCCCCATCTCCATATTGGCTGGGCACGCTATAAAGCAAGGCATATGACTGACTATTGAGTCAAATCCTTTCCAGGACTTAATTTTCTCTGCTGTTAGATAAGGTCTTTTACAACACACATTAGCAAGCTTACCTCACCACCTAATTTACTCCACAAAGTGACTGGGGTACTCTGAATAACAGCTTTTTTTTTTTTTTTTTTTTTAAAGCCAAAAAAATAAAGAGCTCGTCATCATCCAAAACTTATGTAGAGGCTAAAGCTGGATGTTAAGTTTTTTCACCCAAGCCCAGATGGGATACAGGAGAAGCAGCCTGATGCCCGCAGAGGTAGGAGACAGGAGCTATCTCAGTTTGGGACCATCCAAAATTGAAGAAGAGAAGGTCCTTAGATTCAGATTTATAAACCCTTTCAAAGGAGTTTCCTTAGCTGAAAAAAAAAATGAGACTATGTAATTTTATCCCCTTCATAGGTCAGTTGTGAGAATAAAAATGAGATCGCATATACAAAGAGCTCATAGCCATGCCCAGCAATAAATGGGACAACCAGAGAAGAGGAAACAAGAGACTCTCTTCACACCACAAGTCGAGAAAATGACAGAATCAGCACCTCTCGGAAATCTTCTAGCTCCTCCCTTACTTTTTTTTTTTTTTTTAAATATATTTTATTGATTTTTTACAGAGAGGAAGGGAGAGAGATAGAGAGTTAGAAACATCGATGAGAGAGAAACATCGATCAGCTGCCTCCTGCACATCTCCCACTGGGGATGTGCCTGCAACCCAGGTACATGCCCTTGACCGGAATCGAACCCGGGACCCTTCAGTCCGCAGGCCGATGCTCTATCCACTGAGCCAAACCGGTTTCGGCACTCCTCCCTTACTTCTTCCTCTGTGAGCCCGTGCCAATGAGATCATACATCTAGAATAGCATTGACTAGTTCTGTTTTACTTGGTAGGTAGACTGCACACTGTGCACACCTAAAGAAAGGGCGCATTAGCTCTGAGCTCACTATTCCTCCTCGGTGTCTTGCTCCCACAATTGACTTCACATACTAGACAATCAAATATTTATTGATCAAGTGCTCAAGTTTTCATTTCCCTGTTTCCCTGAGCACATTAGTGTGAGATTCCAAGTACTAACAATTTACAGCCTACATTTATATCTGTGAGTATAGGTGCACTCAACTACCTATTTTCCCAATATATCTTAATTATAAAGACAACATAATATTACAGAAAGTTTATAAACACAGTGTTTTTATGGCCTGTACTCTCATTTACCTCCTGCCCAGACACATACATATTTTTATTTTACCAAGAAGTCAGGGGACATGCAAGTTTGCATCACACATTTTGCAATTCATATCACAGCACAACTTTTCCATAATGTTACTCAGTCTTCATTGGGTATTGTCTTCACAATCATTACTTTAGAAAATAAGGCTGAGGTTATTATTTATTGTTTTACCCCACCCCATTGAAAAAAGATGGTTGCCAGCTATGTTTTGTAAGCATCAGTGTTAGATAAAACAAGGGTCTCAAGGTCTGGGCCTCTCTAAATGTTCTTCCTTGCTACATGTTAAAACGTAGCACAGTATTTTGCGCCTGACAGGAATTCAACAGATAAAAGTAGCCAACTGTATGGAGGGATAAGGACACATATGTAATACCTTAATCAATAAAGGAAAAAAAATGTTTAAAAAAGTGGCTACTCGAAAATGTTAAAAAAAAAAAAAGAATGTGCATAAAGCTGGTCTAATAGCTTGACTTATAAAAATATATTCTAAAGAAATAAAAAGACAAATTTAAAAAAAAGTAGCCAAACTGCAAAGAAGAAATCAACATGTAATTGACCAAATAGTGTGTATAAGCAATGGCTAAGTCTTCCTTTGAGGAGGCAGAGCTTTGGATATGAATCCCATCTCCTTAACTTGCTATAAGTAAATAAAACTATCTTGTGATAGCCACCTCTTGTTTTTTAATAGAACACCCTAAACCAGTGACCGCGAACCTTTTGAACTCAGCGTGTCAGCATTTTGAAAAACCCTAACTCAACTCTGGTGCCGTGTCACATATAGAAATTTTTTGATATTTGCAACCATAGTAAAACAAGGACTTACATTTTTGATATTATTTTATATATTTAAATGCCATTTAACAAAGAAAAATCAACCAAAAAAATGAGTTCGCATGTCACCTCTGACATGCGTGTCATAGGTTCGCCATCACTGCCCTAAACCTTAAGCCCCTTGAGTTCAGTAACATCAGGAGCAGAGGAAATGATGATAAGAAAGGACCCAGGGGAGTCTTCCCAAACTAGGTGGGTCAGTCTTCAGTTGTTTTAGGAAATATAATCCACATCCTGATTCAGGTACATAGTCTTGTCTATATGACCAAAAGTGTAATTCAATCAACCCAAACACTTTATTTACATTGCTATCTTTTATGTATCAATGTATAATTCTTTTGAACAAATTATTTCTTCAATACTGCAGTCATATAAGGACAATCTTTTCAGAAATGATGACTATTAAAATACTAATTTGAAAAGATATATGTAGCTTAAGTGTTCATTAGTAGACAACTGGTTAAAAAAGAAGTGGTACATATATACAATGGATTATTACTCTGCCATAAAAAAGAGAGAAATCTTACCATTTTCAACAACATGGAGGGACCTAGAGGGTATCCTGCTAAGTGAAATAAGGCAGACAGAGAAAGACAAGTACCATGTGATTTCAATTATATGTGGAATATAAAAAACAAACAAATCCAAAATAAAGAAACAAACAAAACAGATAACTTCATAGATATATAGAAAAAAAAATGATGGTTGCCAGATTGGGGGTGGGGAAGGGGTTGGGGAAATTGGCTGAAAAAGGTGAGGGGTTTAACAAATTGGCAGTTACAAAATAGTCATGGAGATGTAGGGAATATAGTCAATAATATTATAATAACTATATACGGTGCCGCGTGGGGACTGGACTTTTCAAGGGGATTACATCATAAGTTATATAAATGTCAAACTACTGTGCTGTACACCTGAAACTAACATAGTATGGAATGTCAATGGTAATTGAAAAGTTTTTTAGTTTTTAAAAAAGAAATGATTACTAAAATTTCTCTAATTTTTATTTTATTTTTAATATCCCTTGAGGTAGTCACTGCCCATGTCAAATGAAATTTACTAGGGATGATTAAATAAAGGTGTCAATACCTAATTATATTGTCTACATTGGCCAAATGATTTTTATAGCTCTTTTCTCTTAACATAGCCACAATTTTCAGCAGCTCTTTCTTTCTTTTTGCTATTGCCTCAGTCTTGGCACAATTTTGTTAAAAAGTGGATAGAAAGATCTGAGCTGGAAGAGGCTGCGAGAAGTAGCTGGGGCTCAGAGGAAATGGAGTGAGATGTGACAAACTGAAAATAGACCATGGAGGTGGTAGGCCCCTATGTGAACAGGAAAGATTCAGAGCTCTCCAGGATGTGGTCTAACTGGTGGTCTAGCACCTAGATGAAGAAGCGTTATATTCATTTTTTTGAGACATGAGGGAGGGAGTGACTAGCGGGGTGTTCCAGCCTAGAGGTATAAATCCTCTACACTCCCAAATATCAGGGCACTGGGTTCAGTCTCAGCCAGCTTAGCTGCCTGCTCAGGTCCTATCTGACTGTATTACTTTCCTACAAATAAATCTTTGCCTGCTTTTGCTGCCATTTCTAGTCTCTTGTTTGAATTCATTCTTACAAGCAAGACAAGCACTGGGTGTACAGTTATCTGGGTTACCTCCGGCCAGAGACCTCCTTGTCCATCACTTACGTTTCATCCCTTCACACATTTCATGCATAAAAACATCTATCTATACTAATAAAAGGGTAATATGCTAATTAGACCAGACATCTTCTGGACATCCTTCCGGACATCCTTACGGAAAAAGCCACAGTGGCTGGGGTCAAGGCAGAGGCAGTTAGGGGCAACCAGGCTGGCAGGGAAGAGCAGTTAGGGGTGACCAGGCCGGCAGGGGAGGGCAGTTAGGGGTGAACAGGAAGGCAGATAGGTGAGCAGTTAGGAGCCAGCAGTCCCAGATTATGAGAGGAATCCTGGAATGGAGAGGGTGCAGACTGGGCTGAGGGACCCCCTGCCCTCGTGCATGAATTTCATGCACCGGGCCTCTAGTATATATATATATAAAAGGCTAATATGCTAAGTATCCGACCATCCGGGTAATGACATCACGTAGCAACACCTGGCTCCCTCTCCCTAGTGACTAACCTCCTAGCAGTTTCTTCAGCCCAGGAACACGACTTGCTTTATAGCCAGGTGGAAACATTTACACTTTAACCAAATGTTTGTGAAGCATGTTCATGTGCTTCATCTAATTTGATCCTCTCAGAAGTCCTGGAGTAGGTAGATAGGAGACTTGGTGGAATCCCATTTTCTTTTCATTAGCTGGAAAATGGAGATTTAGGAAGCTTAAAAAATTGACCCAACTGAAAAGAAGTAAGAAATGATGGACCTTGAAAATGACTCCAGGTTTTCTCACTGCGCAGAATATAGTCAAACACTGCTGCAGTTAAATATTTTACCCTTTGTTCTCCCTGCATGATCTACAGTAATAATCTGCTTCATGTTGATATTTACTGCTGTGTTGCTGACAATTACCTGAAAGAAAGTTGGGGTGCTTCACTGGGCTGGAAAAAGTCTAGCTAAATCAGAAAGCAGGTCTAATTAAGCAAGTTTATTCTATACTATAAAAGGCTAAGTTGACTCGCGCATACACAATACATATAAAGCTCTCGCTAGAGCCAATCCCATGCATGTGTTTTGATCTGTCATG